TCCAAGAACATCTGGAGGACTAAGGTTGGACACCACAAATGATGGATCCCATGATAGTGCAAGAAAAAGACATGGTAGTTAAAAGTGGGATCTGACTCTGGGTAATATAGGTGCACTTCACAATTTAGAGTTTATTGGCTGAGGTGCATCTGCACTATATATATAACAGTTTAATTCCACTTTAACTGCCATGGTTCCAGTCTATGGAATCCTGTGATCTGGTCTTCAGCAAAAGGCTTTGAATTGTGTATCAGATATTTGTAGGAATTCTCTTGGACTACAGTCCAAGGGTGTGTTCCAGGACCCTTTAGAGACTCACCCTGCCCCCCCAGGGGTCAGAGGGGGTGAAATTGCTACATTCTGGGACTCTTCTGAGGCTTCCCAAGCATCAAAAGAGTCCCAGAAGGTGGCAATTTCGCCCGCGCTGGCCCTGTGGGGGGGTGGGGGGAGCAGTGCAAGGGGCCGAGTGAGCCTTCCCGGACCCTTGCAATGCTCCCCCCACCTGGAAGCTGACAATTTCACCCACGCTGGCCCCGTGGAGGGTGGGGGGAGCGGCGCAAGGGGCCAGGAAAGCTCACTCGGACCCTTGTGACGCTCCCTCCACCCCCCATGGTGCCAGTGGGGGCAGAATCACCCTGGAAGCTGGTGATTTCGCCCACGCTGGCCCCGTGGGGGGGTGGAGGGAGCATTGCAAGGGTCCGAGTGAGCCTTCCCGGACCCTTGCAGTTCTCCCCCACCTGGAAGCTGGCGATTTCACCTGCGCTGGCCCCGTGGGGGGTGGGGGGAGCATCGCAAGGGTCCTGGAAGGCTCACTCAGACCCTTGCGACGCTCCCCCACACAGGGCCAGTGGGGGCGAAATCGCCACTTTAGCTCCATAAGGCGCACAGACTCCCCCCTCCACATTTTGGGGGCGGAAGTGCGTCTTATGGAGCAAAAAATATGGTAATAACAGTAAACAGAGTTAAATCTATGAATAAGTTATAGTATAAATACTTTCAGATTATACTTGCTCATTAAATGGTCTCTATTGCCTATGAAAATAGATACGAATATTCAGTATTTTACAAATGAAAACCAGATGGTTTCTGTTCAGGGGTTAGGAAATAAGTCACTTATTAGTGAATCGTTTAGTACATCAGTGTTAACAGTTTCCTCATTTAGTAGGGTAAATCCCACAAAGAGGTAGTCACAGATTGTTCTCTGAAGTTACACACTAAATGAGAATGTTAACAAATTAAATAATATTTAGTTATCTCATCTTCATTTAGATGATTCATTAAATTTATATGAATATGTATATTTCATAAACTTCCATACAGCTGTCTCTTCCAAATATTTCAAATAAATTACAGACTAATAGGCAAAAGCAGACAGAAAGGATATCTTGAATGTTTCTTGCTCTCCACTATTGAAAATATGCTTTCTAAGAATGCTGAAGAACTCTATTCAAATTTATAGTCCTAATTATTATAATATGTGGAGACAAGCCTGGCTTATCTGGATATCTTTCTACATTTACACTTTATTCTGATAAAGATACTCCCCAACTGTGGATTTGGATTTTGGACATTGTTTAATTCCTACAGTCTCGTTCTTTTTTGGAACTGCTTTTTAAAAAATAATGTTCCAGGCTCTTTTCTGAAGCGATATATTCCAGCAGAGCATTCATTGTTGAAAATTGTACTAAAGTAAAATACATCATTAAAATGTTTGACTTGATTTTGTGCAAAATTCATTTATCTGTAGAATAGGATCAAACAAAATAACAACCGAAGGAGGGAAATGCCTTGCTAATGCCATAAAGAAGAATAAAGCTTTCTATGACATTGGGTAAGTGATTTCTCATATTACCCTTGAAATTTTACTTTCATAGTTGTTACTTTTAATCCTTTAGTTACTGTTTTTCAAGTGCTTTACTTTACCACTTGTGTTACAGCCCGTATTTTCCCCAGTGTTTGTGTATATGTTTTAAAGTGTTTCCTAGCTCAAGTGAACATTCTTGACAACAGCTGCTAACAATGAAAATGTATCTATTTTTTAAAATCTAATTCAGTTCATAGATTTGTCTCCAGATAGTCAGATGTTAGTTAGTTCTGATGCAGTTTTTTCCATAACTTCTGTACTGCTATCTAGATATTTGCAGCTAGGTTGGTGGGAAAGGATGTCCCTGATTCTCCTTCCCCAAAGCAGTTCCTTTAGCCCTGTGTAAATGCTACACCCTCTCAGGGAAGCTTGCTGATTTAGGTGAGCTGTGAGAGGTTCATTTTAGGAAAGACAGTCACCCAAATCCAAGTGGAGAGAACTTCTGCACATTCCCACCTACTAACAGAAGACTGATTATTGACCCACCCCCATGTCCCTATAGAGCCCTCTGAGGCCTAGATTAGACAAATATAGGCAGTGTGTTATCAGAAGCAGAGTTGCCTTAAAAGATAAAAGATATTTGTTTATATTTCTACATGTCGTGTTCATTTTGTGATGATGAGGTAAACATGAAATTAATTTGGAAATTTGTATCAAAGGCTGAACTTTGAGGGAATTGTATTATGGAGAGAAAATACAAAGGCAAAAAAGTATGCATTTCTTTTAATGCATGATCTGATTCTGAGTCTAATGAAGAACAAGGTTGAAGAATCTAACACTGTCCCTTTGTTGCTTCCCTATTGCTGGCCATGTCATTCCCCATGTTGGAGGTAGGGAATCCTATGTCGTAGGATAGGATCTGTATCTCCAGAAGCTCCAGCCTGGCCCTCTGGGTTTCCCCAGATACCTGTCACCCCATGATATCATTGCTTGGTGGTTTCCAAGCTTTTGTAGACCCTGCCTCCAATTTTGAAAGGTTGAAATATATTTCTTAAGGCTTAGTTACTGGCAGCAAAAACTAGGTATGGGACTCTCAGACCTTTTAGAACTCCCAGTTGCAGAATTTGCCCAGCATCCTCAGTGGTTGGACTGCAACTCCCAGAAGCCTTCACCACCAGCTGTCCTGACTGGGGTTTCTGGGAGTTGCAGTTCAAAAGCGTCCGAGTAACAAAGGTTAAGAACCACTGTTTTAGACCTCCCAGTTCCAGAATAAATAAATTTGCCCAGTGTCCCCAGTGGGTCGTCTTGATGCCAGTTAGGCTCTATAGGGGATGCCTTCCAAGCTGCATCAAGGCAGTTTCCTGTTTTTCATAGGAAATACATACAGGTAGGAGTGCACCCATGGAAGTATGGGAACTCCTCTGATGCATTTTTGGGGGGCTCCATCTCCCAGAATTCTGCCTGAGGGTTCCGGGCAAATCCTGGGAGTGGGAATCTGAAAAATCCAGAAGTCCCTAACCTAGCAGAGCTCTACACCAAAATATTCTAGTGTCTTTGGGGCCACCCTTTTGCCTTTGACTCTGTCCATGACTTGAAGGTCCTTGCAAATGTCTCTACAATTAAAACCTCAAGCTGAAATAAGTTCTTTGTTTTTGTTCTATACCTTGGAAAGGCATCTCTGCATTGAGGAGTCTGCTCTTCCTCTGTGGAATGTCCATGTGATTTAAAATCCTAGATCATCAGTTTCATAAGTTGCTTAGTGAGCTTGAGTAGAGTAGATTCCTGGCTACAGACATTTACTCTGCAGTGTTTCACTTTCCCTATATTTTTACATGTGAGCAAAGCAGGGAGGAACCAAATTACATCAGGTGGGCTAAAGGGGCATAATGGCACTGCTCTTCCTCTGTGGAATGTCCATGTGATTTAAAATCCTAGATCATCAGTTTCATAAGTTGCTTAGTGAGCTTGAGTAGAGTAGATTCCTGGCTACAGACATTTACTCTGCAGTGTTTCACTTTCCCTATATTTTTACATGTGAGCAAAGCAGGGAGGAACCAAATTACATCAGGTGGGCTAAAGGGGCATAATGGCAGCTTGCCACCCCAAACTGATTCCCCATCCATAGCATGGAGGCATGTGGGGTGGTGGTGGTATCCTAGATCATCAGTTTCATAAGTTGCTTGAGTAGAGTAGATCCCTGGCTACAGACATTTACTCTGCAGTGTTTCACTTTCCCTATATTTTTACATGTGAGCAAAGCAGGGAGGAACCAAATTACATCAGGTGGGCTAAAGGGGCATAATGGCAGCTTGCCACCCCAAACTGATTCCCCATCCCTAGCATGGAGTCATGCGGGGGGGGGGAAGCTTGCCACCCCAAACTGATTCCCCATCCATAGCATGGAGGCATGTGGGGTGGTGGTGGTAATATCGATGTTTATTTGGGTGTCTTTCTCTGTTTGGCAGAATGTGGGGTAATCGGATTGGAGATGAAGGAGCCAAGGCTTTTGCAGAAGCCCTGAGGAATCACCCAACACTAAGGAACATTAGGTAAGAGCTTGCTTAGGCAGGAAAACATAGTTTGGCTTTGCAGATGGCCCACATTTTGAAGGTTTGTCGGACTTCAACAGCATACAGGAGAGCAGGCACCCAACATTTCAGAGCACCTGAGCTAAGACGTCCAGGGACAGAGTCACTCCTTGACATTCCTGGGCAGCTGGCCTGGGCATCTCATGTCATACCATCTACCTTGGACTTTCTTTATCTTTTTTTTCCTTGGCCTTGCACTCCCAAATGCTGTATCATGCAGGTGAATCTAGCTGCTCCTTTAATTCCCACAATTCCTCTGGCTAGATTTTTCCCACGGGCATTGTGGGAGGGTAAGAGAATGGCTAAACACAATTGCCCAGTGGTGTCTGCAGCACTGCCCTTGCAACCAGAGAAGCCTGATGAAACTGATTGACAGTAGAAGGGTCGCGCCCGAGGTCACTTTGTCAAAGCCCTCTCAAACATGGAGCCAGCCTGTGGCCTTTAGTGCAGGCGAATAGAGTCGAGGCAGTTATCCTAAAGAGTGTATAAATTGCCTTGGACAGGAACTGTGGTTATTCTCTTTCAAAGTTCTATTGGCATCTAGCAGTACTGATACATTATTGGCAGAGAAGCTGAGAGCCTAATTTTAGAGCAGAGACCTTTCAAAAATGAAACATGATTGATGTTTTGAAATATGGTAATCTAGCAAGAAAATTACACTGTCAGTCCACATTTGGCCTCAAAAGATGCTAAGAAAATAAAAATTGAGTGTGAAGCTTTTCGAGAGACAAATTGTTATTTGGGAATTTTTAAACAATTGTCAATCACTTGTTTCACCACACAGACAGACCACAAGGGCCAGTATCCTGTTTAAGGAGAACAAATACTATTTTTTCCAGTTCTCCCACAAGATGGCAGGCTCTACTGGATTTCTTCAAGCAGAAAAAAAGGGATCAAAGTCCAGTTTGGACTGTAAGAATAAAGAAAGAGTGACATTTTCAGATCTTGGAAGTAACTTGTTACAAGTAATGACATTATGTGTAATACCTTTAGGTTGTAATGAGGACAAAACAATGTTCAATGTAATCTTGAAGGCTTTCACAGCTGGGATCAGATGGTTGTAGGTTATTCAGGCTGTTTGACCATGTTCTGGAGGTTTTTCTTCCTAATGTTTCACCAGTCTCTGTGGCCGGCATCTTCAGAGGACAGGAGTTAGAACTCTGTCTGTGTTCTGGTCTAGTGTACGGGATAGTTGAGTATTCGTAGCTGTGGGATCAGCTTTTGTTCTTTTCAGGAGATTGGGTAATTAGTGTGATCAGGACACTCTGATCACAATAATAAGTATTTATTACTTCTTCTCTTTCTTTTAATGGATTAAAATTCTCTCTTGGAATTTATTTCTCTTTACATTTCAGATTTTTTTTAAAAAATGTCTTTTTTCCCCACACAACTCTGATTTCCCAGTAAAAGTTTCCAAAGAAGTAGCTGTGTTAATCCATTCCAGCATGTTGTCAAAATTAAAGGCAAAATGGGAGAGAAAATGAGAGAGAAAAAAAAAACAAAGAAAAAATATTTTGGCACCTTACATACTAATAAATTCATCTCAGTGTGAGTTTGTGTGGCAATTTGGATTTTGATCCACAAAAGTTTACACTGAAGCAAGTCTCTTTGTCTTTAAAGTGCAACAGCATTTTCTCCTTTGCCTCCCCTGTCCTTTAGCTTTGTCAGTGGGTAGTTTTTATCATTAGACTGTGCGAAACCTGCCCCAGATGTCTATTTCTAAAAATTTAGACAGTAGTACTTTTGCTCAAAGATTTCTTGAACAGTTAATAGCCTGCCTTTTCCCTGCTTAGAAGAAAAAAAGAGTCGTCTTTGGACTATATAACTAGACTAGTGTTTCTTAATCTTTTTTCAGGTTGTGACCCCCTTTTATAATAGCCATGGAACCTGTCACCCCACCACCATGTTTGCATAAAAAGGCATTTTTAGTGGGGGCAAAGTCATCCCTTCACAGAAAGTAAAGGCTTCTTTCTCCACCAAAGGACCTGTTTCTTATACATACACATACATGCTAACTTTAATATCCCACTTCAAAAGGTCAAAGAAGAATTATTTCATAAGGGCTGCAACACATATAAGGCAACCCATGACACACACACCCCAAAGATAGTTTGCAATCCCTTGGGAGGGCAGAACCCCCAAGTTGGGAAACACTGGTCTAGGCAGTGCATGTATATTTCAGATTTTTCCCTTTCTTCTTGCAGTTACCTGATTGGTAGCTTCCTACTTCATTCTTATCATGATTTTTTAAAAGCTGTTACAAGGAAACTGGAGTTCTCTGCAAGTTCCCTTTTAATAGCTTTTTAAAAATTTGTGATACTGTAGCCATGAAATGAATTATACAGATCACGAAATGTATTATATGATAAGGCTGTTAATGAATTTCATTAGAGTAGCTGTTATTGGTGGCAGTTGAGGGTGATCAGCATACCTTTTTGCTATAGATCAGCCCCCCATGGGAAGATGACATTTTGCCACTGTTTGTGATGGCTAGATGAACAACTCCTTGTTTTGAAGAATGTTGTGTCTCTTAGGGGTGCCCTGTTCACGTGCAGGGCTTTATTCTGGAGCTAGTGTTGCTAAAATAATAATTGACTTCATTCAACTTCTAGGATATATATTGGGGCACTTTTGTTTGTTTGTTTGTATTTTTGCTTTTGTTTAGACTGGGCTTGTTAGTTAAAAAGAGAGTTTGGAAAATTCCCTTCAGCTCCCAGACTCCGTGCTTCTCAAACTGGGGTCCCCAGATCTTCTTGGACTGCAATTCCCAGACGTTTTCTGCACTTGCTGTGCTGGCCAGGATTTCTGGGAGTTGCAGTCCAAAAACATCTGAGGACCCAAGTTTGAGAACCACTCTAGCCAACATGGCAGCAGTCTTTTGAAATCGGAGCAAGTGTTGCTGGCGTCCTGCACCTAGCTGAGAGGAAGACTTGACATATCACCACTAGGGCAACCCTACATCTTGTGGCTGTAGTGCACGGCCTGCCACTGCAAGCAAGGTTTTTATCATTTTAGGCCAGCTGAATTTAGAGGTTATTTAGATAAGCCTCTGCTAGCAAGGTTATGGCTTTTGCTGAAAGGGATGAAGTCATTGGGTCTTAGAAGGCAGGGCAAATAATAGTCATTGTAGCTTCCGAAGGAAGCAAAAGCACCTTTTCATGTTGAGATCTATTCAAAGCAGGTGAAAACTGAAGGTGCCCAGAGGTATTATTCTGGGCACTGAGTGTTGGCAAGTTCTGGACCCAGAAGTAGTATTTCCCATTATCTCCTGCACTTTTTCACTTGACTACCAGTTCTTGGCATGTAGTTATATGCCTCAGCAATTGCTGTGCTCTGGAAATAAAAATTTAAAAATCAGAAAATGCAATCATGTGAGACAATTTTAGTCCTCATGTCTTGTCTGCTCTACCAGTTGCTTTTTGAATACAGAAGGGCTGTACAACCTGTGTCTTATGGGCTCTATGTGGCCCCTAGAAGTCTATTGTGTGACACCCCCCATGCTCCTCTACTACTACATACTCACCTCAACCTTACAGGTGTTTTGTTGTTGTTGTTGTTTTCATACCAGTTAATAGTATGTGAAAGCAGAAATTGCAGACTGGGGTGCAAAGCCTGGGAAAGTTACTTTGGTCGCCATAGTTCCTAGAATCATCCTAATCATGCTTGCAATGGGATTCTAGGAGTGGGGATTCTGGGAGTTGTAATCCAAAAATAAGTTAACTGACTGTACATTGTCCAAGTTAAAAAGACCATCACTGGTTGCAGTTGAAAAGTATTAATTGCTGTTAGTAGTGTGTCGTTGATTTTTTTAAAAGAAACTCAAGCATTTCCCATCTCTTGTTCACTTCGCAGTCTTGCATTTAATGGCATCACCACAGAAGGTGGCAAAAGCCTTGCAGAAGCTATGAAACAGAACAGCTCTGTGAACATATTTTGGTAAGGAGATGATTTTGACCACATCCTGGTGCAGAGAAACAGACTTCCTGGGTCCAGGGTTTCCTGTTCTCATAGTAGTGGGAGGGCAGTCGGTTGCTTTGGGGGCCTGTGGTGAGCCAAGAGTGAATGGCTAGGAGGTAAGTTGGTGACTAATGAATGTCTGTCAAGGCAAATCCCCAAATTCTGGAAGAAAAGCTTCTGGAAAAGCTGCAACATGTGTGACCCAAGGCTGGAAAGATGGCTTTGTGTGTTCTTTGCCGCCCATGAAGGAAACGGGAGGCACAGTGAATTCCTAGCCTGCTGTCCTAGGAGTTGAGTAAGAAATAGAAGAGAGTGACTGGGGGCAACTCCCCTTTGAGCAAAGCTGGGAAATATTACCATTCTTGAACAACAGTTCCTAAAGTTTCATAGCTCAGGTGGTGTCAGAGTTGTAGTCCACAAAAGTAACTTTGCCAAACTTTGCATTTAGAGTATCCTCAATACATAACCCATGAGAAGGTCTATAATTTGTTCTTGCTTCTTTGTAAAGAAACAGAGAAAGGAGAAAATATTAGGGAAAGGAAATGAAACTGTCCCTTCGTTGTCTTCTTTCCAAGCTGTGGCAGGAAAATATATGCATTCATCAAACTCTTATACCATCATACCACCCTGAACACATCCAGTCTTGTCTGATTTCAGAGGTTAAGCAGGGCTGGGCCTGATTAGTACTTGGATGGGAAATTACCAAAGACCTGGTCAGAGTGGGGTAGAAAACAACTGCCAGTCACAGTGGACAGTATTGAGCAAGGTGGACCAATGGTCAGAATCTCAGGCTACTGCATATTTATTTATTCAACGTGTCTCCCCCTGCCCCTTAGGGAGCAGAAGAGACTCCCAGAGCAATTCATAAAAGCTGAAAAGGGTGAAGAGGGACAATAACAAGCTGATTTTGGCACCAGTTCTCAAAAGTTACAGAAACCCCTTTTTTATACTCATAACTTTAACAAGTAAAGGGGACAGGGGGGCATGCGTGCATTGGGGCAAAATGCATGAAGTGGTAGGTAAGGTATAAATGTCCACCTGATTTGGAGTCTTACATGGTAGGGATTCAAAAACACCTGGAAATCAGTGTATGAAGAACATGTTCTCTACTGCAGACCTTACCTATCACTTCATATCCTTCATGCAATGGAGTTACATGAGTGAGGCACTTCTGAATAGGAATATGGTAGAGCTGTAGTCAATAATCATTAAATGACTGTATTTGTATTCCTCTCATGATGAGGGGAGTGAATTGTCACCTTTCCCGTTCTATTGTTTTCCTCAGAGGAAAGGAGCTGTCTGAAGAAGGGAGAGCCTGCTCTGTCCACGTAGACCAGTGGTTCCTAACCTTGGGTAACCCAGATATTCTTGGACTGCCGTTCCCAGAAGCCTTCACTGCCAGCTGTGCTGCCTGGGGTTTCTCGCAGTTGCAGTTCAAGAACACTTGACTTATCCAAGGTTGGGAACCACTAGTGTAAACCAGACATTTTCAACATTTGTTTTTGGCTGTGGCCATAAATACAATATGAAAGAAATATAGGCTGAATCAGAATTGTATAAGTTGCATAGCGAATGTTATAAGGTGGTGTGTGAAAAATTGTTTCCAGTCTGTGGCCCCCTTCAAATAGGCCAGGGCCACCCAGGGTGCCATAGGGCCCCCATTGAGAACGGCTGATGGTCCAGCTAAACCAGAACCCAGATATTTTTGTGTGGAAAGCCAAAATGAACAGAGCAGACTCTTCCATAGTCAGTTCATGAGGAAGACAACAACAGATATGTGGGGCTTATACTTAACAATAACCAGCTGGAATGAAAATTGTTCAGGGGGAGAGAAAGACCAAGTGGAGCTCCTGTCTCTTAGGGAAGGGAAGCCAATAGTGTGACTGACTCTGAAGGAATTCATTCTCAATTCACAAAGGGCTTCCCATATTCCTGGTCTGGCATGATGACTCACAGGCAAGCCCATGAAAAGGAACCTATTTGAGAGGTGCATGCTTTTTTCCTCAGGAATGCTCCCTCACGTGAGCAGCATTGCTAGTCTGCTGAGCCAGTCAGTGCTCGTCAGCCAACCAGGAAACCAGTATTCCCTTCTTCTAAAAAATAATCACTCCCTTTTCTCCTTTCTCCGTGTGAACCTAAAATCAAGGACAGAAACTGTGCCTTCACTTTAAACAGATAAGGGCCCTACCCTAGCTTAAAAGAGGCTGGCAGTTAGGGAAAGGAACTGATTCATCCAGCCAAGACAAGAAGATAGGCAAAAATGGGAAATAACTTAAAGGCTTGAAAAAGGACATAGCAGGCCGAATACTTTTGATGGCACATCATTTTTTTATTTTTTTTGCTGCAGGTAGACAAAGGCAAATCTCTGCTCAGATACGCAGAAACTTGTGTGGTTGTTTTAAAATATCTTGGATATATTTTGGCAGCAACTACACTGGCAAGCTGCATCTGAGCTATTCAACTTTGCTATGGCTTGATTCGTAGCCTATTTTATGCTTCAGTTTGGATTAGGTGATCACACGGAGACTGCAGATTGTTTCAGTGCCAGTGTCCACAATTTGATCCTCAATCCAATGTGGTTTGATCTGTGCCACAGCCCCCTTCCTTTGATCCCATCCTCTGGCAATCTCCAGCTCCTGTTTTGTTATTCATTGTAAAGCCAGTGGGTTGTTTAAATTGTTGCATGGCATTAAGGGAAAGGGACAGTTTGTCAAAGTTCTTCATAACATACAAACACATGCACACATACTGCAGAAACATAATAATTCATTGGAGTTGTTTCTGTTTCATATTGATTTTTATCTCTTTCTTTTATTTGTGTAGAGGGTCTAGTGCTAAACTCGGTAGCTTTTTAAAAATTAAAAAATATGTTGGGGAGAAAGATTGTAGGGGTGGGTGTTCTGGCTTTCCAAAATTCCATGCCCATCTTAGTATGTTGCCAGAATACCACCTACAGTCACACACACCCATCCTTTTGGAGGATGAAACAACTGACCACACAGAGAAAACACCATTCAAATCATTCCAACTTGGAAAAAAAAAAGTAGAACCCCTCAGCAATAGGGGAAAAACCTCCACTTTGGAAGCAAAAAGGATCAGGGAGATTCAAACTGGATTTTGCATCATGTGGTCAGTTTAAAAATGTGAATGCAACTGCTTTTCTTCTGCAGCAAATCCTATGCTTTTAACTCATGCAGTTGCATTAGACAGTGTGTTCCATGGGCATCTCAATACAGGTGTTGTTGGTTTTTTTTTTTTTTTTTTGGTGTTGTTGTCAAAAACAGAGCAGCAAATGGTTCCCCTTCAGTCCATGCAGGCACATGGAACTTAAAGATAGCCATGCTTTGATATATGAGGTGGAAAATTCAGCAACCATTTCTGCCCCTTCCCTACCAGTAAAAAGACAACTGCTGCCCTTTCATGACATCCCAAATCTGTAGTCTGAGGAAGCCTCCTTTTCTACCTGGTGGTAGAGCCCCTCCAGGTTTGTACTTGCCTCCTCCATTCTATGAAGCTATCAAATCACTTTCAATCCCTAAACTGTGAGCAGCCTGGATCTAGAGAGATCACTATTTATCTCTCTCAGTTAATGTGTAAACCAAAAATGTGAACATTTACTGGTGTTTTTCCAGAAGAACCCAATTATGTTCACCCAGTATTCTTGGAGCTGCTACAAGGTAACTTTTAAATCAGGGACTCCTCCATTCTATGAAGCTATCAAATCACTTTCAATCCCTAAACTGTGAGCAGCCTGGATCTAGAGAGATCACTATTTATCTCTCTCAGTTAATGTGTAAACCAAAAATGTGAACATTTACTGGTGTTTTTCCAGAAGAACCCAATTATGTTCACCCAGTATTCTTGGAGCTGCTACAAGGTAACTTTTAAATCAGGGACATGGATTATTTATTTATTTATTTATTTATTTATTTATCCATCCATCCATCCATCCATCCATCCATCCATCCATCCATCCATCCATCCATCCATCCATCCATCCATCCATCCATCCCACCTTTCTTCTTAAAAAGAACCCAAGGTGGCTTTAGCCATCCAGATGTTCTGATCTATACCTCCCAGGTACCTCACTCAGCATAGCCCATGATCACAGATTCTGTAAATTGTAGTCCAAAGAATCTGAAGGACCAAATGTCTGTCCTCTCCAGGGTAAATGTTATAAACATTTGCTTTTTCTTATTTCTGCCATAGACATTCTTCTGCCTGTTAACCTGTCTTGAAATGGGAGCATTAAATTGCTCCATTTGATGTACCAGAAAGCCAGTTTATTCAGTCATTTCCACCACCACCCCATTATGGTATTAACAGTGCCCAGTAGGTCCTGACCAAACTTTTAGATGCAAGATAACATTGTGCTTTTAGAATGGCGATAAAAATAGGATATGAACTGTGTTCTGTCCATGACCTGATGGAGGACACTTAGAAACAGTGGTGGCAATGATGTCCCTAGTTTGAAACAATACTGAGCTGAACAAACAGTGCCAAGAAGTGTATATGTTCCAGACTGTGATAGCCTTGATGCACAAACATCCACTACATAGTTAGCAAGTACACAGTGTAGCAGTTTTAAAGAAAGAGAGTGGATGTGCTTTGAATATGCATAGGCAACTCAATTAGAGAATGCTGACACCTCTGGAAATCAAGTTTTTGCTTAATACGATGGATAACAACAGCAATTTTGGACATGACCATTTATAAGACTTCAGGTAACACGCAGGACTATGTAATAATAATATGTGTTGTCCATTCAATTGTAACTTACGGCAACCCTTTTCAGGATTTTCCAGAAGTGGTTTATCATTCCCTTCTTCTAGGGGTGCTCTGAGACTGTGCAGCTTGCCTAAAGCCACCCAGGCTGACTCTGCTCACGAGAGGCACAATGGGGATTTGAACTCCCAACCAGATACCTAAACCACTGACCAGTCCAGCCAGCTCAGATTTATGTAGACAATTGGTAAATCCAATAGATGTGTGAATCTAGTTGGAAAATTTTTAAGATTTCATTCTTGAGTAGCTAGGATTTTTAATAAATCAATAGGTAAAGGTAAAGTTCGCCTTGACAATTTGTCCAGTCATGTCCGACTCTAGGGTGTGGTGCTCATCCCTGTTTCCAAGCCGTAGAACCAGCATTTGTCTGAAGACAATTTCCATGGTCACGTGGCCAGCGCAACTAGACACGGAATGCCGTTACCTTCCCACTGTGGTGGAACCTGTTTATCTACTTGCATTTGCATGATTTCAAACTGCTAGGTAGGCAGGAGCTGAGATAAGCGACGGGAGCTCACTCCGTCGCATGGATTTGATCTTATGACTGCTGGTTTTCCAACCTTGCAGCACAGAGGCTTCTGTGGTTTAACCCACAGCGCCACCACATCCCAATTAATAAATCAATACCTGTTGGCAAATTAAAAAGTAAGCTATCCAAGAGAGTACATTGCTCATTTTTGAACCAAAGAACTGCTACCCAGAGACTGAACCACCTTTTTTTGCTTCCCCAACCAGGCTAACAAAGAATGAGTTAGATGATGAAGCAGCCGAGTACTTTGCTGAAATGGTGAAGGTCAACAAGAGATTGGGCCATCTGTGGTGAGTTATGCAGGCTGCTGAAGTTTGAGCACTTACTCATTGCCTTGGGCTACAAATCCTATTTCAGGCATTGTAAACATTTTGCACAAAGACCCGGCACTGGGTATTAGGATCATATTGACAAGATGTCATCTGATTATTTATTTATTTATTTATTTATTTATTTATCCATCCATCCATCCATCCATCCATCCATCCATCCATCCATCCATCCATCCATCCATCCATCCATCCATCCATCCATCCCACCTTTCTTCTTAAAAAGAACCCAAGGTGGCTTTAGCCATCCAGATGTTCTGATCTATACCTCCCAGGTACCTCACTCAGCATAGCCCATGATCACAGATTCTGTAAATTGTAGTCCAAAGAATCTGAAGGACCAAATGTCTGTCCTCTCCAGGGTAAATGTTATAAACATTTGCTTTTTCTTATTTCTGCCATAGACATTCTTCTGCCTGTTAACCTGTCTTGAAATGGGAGCATTAAATTGCTCCATTTGATGTACCAGAAAGCCAGTTTATTCAGTCATTTCCACCACCACCCCATTATGGTATTAACAGTGCCCAGTAGGTCCTGACCAAACTTTTAGATGCAAGATAACATTGTGCTTTTAGAATGGCGATAAAAATAGGATATGAACTGTGTTCTGTCCATGACCTGATGGAGGACACTTAGAAACAGTGGTGGCAATGATGTCCCTAGTTTGAAACAATACTGAGCTGAACAAACAGTGCCAAGAAGTGTATATGTTCCAGACTGTGATAGCCTTGATGCACAAACATCCACTACATAGTTAGCAAGTACACAGTGTAGCAGTTTTAAAGAAAGAGAGTGGATGTGCTTTGAATATGCATAGGCAACTCAATTAGAGAATGCTGACACCTCTGGAAATCAAGTTTTTGCTTAATACGATGGATAACAACAGCAATTTTGGACATGACCATTTATAAGACTTCAGGTAACACGCAGGACTATGTAATAATAATATGTGTTGTCCATTCAATTGTAACTTACGGCAACCCTTTTCAGGATTTTCCAGAAGTGGTTTATCATTCCCTTCTTCTAGGGCTGCTCTGAGACTGTGCAGCTTGCCTAAAGCCACCCAGGCTGACTCTGCTCACGAGAGGCACAATGGGGATTTGAACTCCCAACCAGATACCTAAACCACTGACCAGTCCAGCCAGCTCAGATTTATGTAGACAATTGGTAAATCCAATAGATGTGTGAATCTAGTTGGAAAATTTTTAAGATTTCATTCTTGAGTAGCTAGGATTTTTAATAAATCAATAGGTAAAGGTAAAGTTCGCCTTGACAATTTGTCTAGTCATGTCCGACTCTAGGGTGTGGTGCTCATCCCTGTTTCCAAGCCGTAGAACCAGCATTTGTCTGAAGACAATTTCCATGGTCACGTGGCCAGCGCAACTAGACACGGAATGCCGTTACCTTCCCACTGTGGTGGAACCTGTTTATCTACTCGCATTTGCATGATTTCAAACTGCTAGGTAGGCAGGAGCTGAGATAAGCGACGGGAGCTCACTCCGTCGCATGGATTTGATCTTATGACTGCTGGTTTTCCAACCTTGCAGCACAGAGGCTTCTGTGGTTTAACCCACAGCGCCACCACATCCCAATTAATAAATCAATACCTGTTGGCAAATTAAAAAGTAAGCTATCCAAGAGAGTACATTGCTCATTTTTGAACCAAAGAACTGCTACCCAGAGACTGAACCACCTTTTTTTGCTTCCCCAACCAGGCTAACAAAGAATGAGTTAGATGATGAAGCAGCCGAGTACTTTGCTGAAATGGTGAAGGTCAACAAGAGATTGGGCCATCTGTGGTGAGTTATGCAGGCTGCTGAAGTTTGAGCACTTACTCATTGCCTTGGGCTACAAATCCTATTTCAGGCATTGTAAACATTTTGCACAAAGACCCGGCACTGGGTATTAGGATCATATTGACAAGATGTCATCTGAAACCCATCCACTTGCACTGAGGCATCAGAAATTCAGGCTGACACAGTAGTAGTTCAGTGACTTATTCTTTCTAACAGCAACTCTGGAAGGAACTGTGGATTCACCACTAACTGAACCTGTTCAGAACAGCATGACGGTTAAGAGTTGTTGGGTGTGACACGGGGCAAAGGTGGAAGCCAGAGACTCAGAAGTTTTATTGCATTATGAAGGATTCTAATACAGGTGATTTCATAATCGTTAAATAATAACTCTCAAGTCTCTCAAATCAAATAAATTTATTGTCATTGTAAGTATATACATGGTATACCCATACAACAAAATTCACACAGACACCCAGAGACCAGACCCACATGCACACACACAAAAAAATCCCCAAACACTCCCCATCCACTAAAATCCTCCACTAAGAATACAAACATCTACACCGCAGGCTAAGTAACACTGTCCAACTATTCACTACTGGTGGTCTTTAAGCTCATTATTAAGTGCAATTATAGCTCTGGGATAAAAACTATTCAGAAAACATGTGGTCTGAATCTTAATTGTTCTATATCATCTGCCAGACGGCAACAGTTCAAAAAAAGTTGTGAGCTGGATGGGAAAAGTCTCTAAGGATGTTGTGTGACTTCCTCAGACAGCGGGATGTGAAGATGTCATCCAGCGTTGATGGCTGGAGCCCAATGATATTCTAGGCAATTTTAATGGTTCTCTGTAGAGCTTTTTTGTCCGCTACAGAGCTGTGCCCAAACCATACGAGAAAGCCATAGGTTAGAACACTCTCAGTGGTGCTACGATAGTAGGACAGAAGTAAGTGCTGAGATAAATTTAACTTCCCAAGCATTCTCAGGAAATACAGCCTCTTCTGTGCCTTCTTATCTAGCCTGTTGGCATTTATAGTCCATGAGAGGTCCTCTGAGATGTAACTGTCCAGAAATGTAAAACTACCAACTCTCTCCACTTCCTCACCAGTGGTAAATGTACATTTCTCTTCCTCCTGAAATTAATTATGAGTTCTTTAATTTTTTTTATGTTAAGTGTCAGATTATTTTCTTTACACCAAAGTATCAACCCTTTTACTTCCTTTCTGTAAGCAGACTCATTGTTCTTATTTATGAGCCCCACCACTGTCGTATCGTCCGCAAATTTAATAATTGTTTTGGTGTTATACAGTGGGGTGCAATCATGTATGTACAGGGAATAGAGGAAGGGACTTACTGACTGTGGCCTATCTCTCAGGTCAGTTCTGACTTATCCTTCCAGATACAGTGGTGCCTTGCTTAGCGATTGCTTCATTTAACGAAGAATTCACTTAACGATGTGTTTCTTGGAGGAATTTTCCGCATCGTTTAACGATGTTCTCTATGGGGGATTTTCACTTAACGATGTCAGTTTTCGCTCATTTTTAAGTGCCCTAAAATGTTTGAAACCTGTTTTAAATGCTTGGAATCGGTAGTGCACCTTGTGAAACATGTGCAAACTTAATTTGGCTTTGTTCTGAGTCTTCGTTAATTTTTGGTGATTTTTTGTTTTCCCCATTTAAATCTATTGAACGGACAGTTCAATGGATTTCAATGGGGAAAACAAAAAATCACCAAAAATTAACAAAGACTCAGAACAAAGCCAAATTAAGTTTGCACACGTTTCACAAGGTGCACTACCGATTCCAAGCATTTAAAACAGGTTTCAAACATTTTAGGGCACTTAAAAATGAGCGAAAACTGACATCGGAAAGCCAATTGAAAAGCATTGAAGCCGACTTTAATGCTTTGTTGTTTCTGCGCGGTGGATAGGCTAAGAGTATGTGTGTTAGGGCAGGGGACAAGCGAGAGACCAATCCTGTTGCCAGGTGCTGTTAGGGGAGATGTGGGCTGGGTGGGAAAGATCCCAGAGTCTGGGCCGGAAGAGATAAAAGGTGAGGCAGGCCAGATGTGGTCCATGGGCTGTAGTTTGGAGACTCCTGGTATAAATAAAGAAATTCTTATTTCAGCTGTTTGCCAGATATTTCTGCTTCATATCTGTACCTGTCCTTACAGCCCTTGTTTTTGCATTTCCAACCAGTCTTTTAACCCATGTTCTATGTGTGTATGCCTGTTTATCAGTACAAATGAGGCCAGCAACGCTTGGCTAGGGTTGCCAGATGTCAGGCAAAAGGAGGACATGTCCGGCAGGCAAAGATAAAAACCTTTAAAATGTCAGGCTTTTGTATATTTTATGTTATAATTTTGGATAGGAGGGGGAGAGGTGGAAGGACACCCCTCCCCCTGACTTTCCCCGCTCCCACCTGCACGCCCACTCCGCTACCTGCCACCGGCACTGGAGCACAGCCCTCGCCCCCTCCTGCCGCCACCGCAGCTGCTCAGCAATCCACCATGCCTGCCCAGCCCCCATGGAGCTCAAAAAGGCAGTGCGAGTGGAGCACAGCCCGTTGAGCCAGGCAGGAGCAAGCAGCATCTGAGCGCATAGATGGGAAGGTGAGCGCCCGGACTGTGTGTGTTCAAAGTCCCTTTCAGGGACTCCATCTCCAACACTCCCCAGCCTTGAACTTATGACCCTCGGGGGAGGGGAGGCTGCCTCATTCGGTTTTGTCTGGTGCCACTTTCCCCTGCCTGCCTTGTTTGGGCATCCAGATTAGCAAGGTTGCCTCTGAGCCTGTGCAGAGTGTGAGCAGCCATGGGATCCTGCAGCCGGGCCAGGGTGGGTTCGGGTACAACTGGCTGTTTAAATAATGTTTTTTGGTATTTTTTTTAAAAAGCCTCCATTGAATTTATTTTTATTTTTAACATGACTGTTTCTTGGTTGGTTCACTAAGAGACATTCATAGGGAGCTATTGTAATAAAATTGTATTGATTGCTGCTTTAATCTGGAACGATTCAAATGAAACATTCAATATGTCCTCCTCTGTCCTCCTTTTTGTCTTTCTATGTCCTCCTTTTGATACCCATGTATCTGGCAACCCTACACTTGGCTAGCATATGCAGTTAAGGGTGGAATGGAGCTGTACAGCACAGTCTCCTCATATGTTCTGTCAAATATGTGAGGATGTAACAGCACTCCAGGGGACGTGGTGGTGCTGCGGGCTAAACCGCAGAAGCCTGTGCTGCAGGGTCAGAAGACCAAGCAGACATAAGATCGAATCCACGTGACGGAGTGAGTGCCCGTCGCTTGTCCCAGCTCCCGCCAACCTAGTGGTTTGAAAGCATACAAATGCAAGTAGATTAATAGGGACCACCTCGGTGGGAAGGTAACAGCATTCCGTGTCTAAGTCGCACTGGCCATGTGACCACAGAAGATTGTCTTCGGACAAAACGCTGGCTGTATGGCTTGGAAACGGGGATGAGCACCGCCCCCTAGAGTCGAACACGACTGGACAAAAATTGTCAAGGGGAACCTTTACCTTTATCTTTAACAGCACTCCAGAGTACCCTGAAGAAGAAGGAGCCTAGTGGCATTGGGTTCCAGCCAAAACAGTAAGGTTGGCTGGAACCCAATGTTTTTGTTGTTGTTTCTGTTTCTTTTAAAGCAACTGCTTGTAAAGAAATAGCATAACTTTTTAAATATGCAGTGGGCTTGGGTTTCTGACAGGAAAATACAATATGGACATCCTAACAAGCACATGTATTTCCTGCTTACCAAAAGTGTGCCAGTTTACATGTCAGATTACATTTCTCTGAACAATCACTAACAATGCTTGAAGGCAATCATTATTTGTTTTATGCATATTGTATATTTTAAAAATTGTTATTCTGAAGTTTGTGTCTTAGTCAGCAAGGTTACTGTATAAAGCTGTATGGTAGATACTGTGCCTTATCCTTCAGATAGGCCAGATTATATGCCAAACTTTAACATATCGTAATTAGCTGGAGGGCTACTGTGCAAGCAATAAGGGACACAGTGCACTTTCTCAACCAACCAAACAGGCCTAGTTGCGGTCATTATGTCAACAGTGATAATATTCAGGACTTCAGGGTGCATTTGCTTACTTTAGGTTATTTCCACTCAGGGCTTCTTTGCTTTTGCTGGTCTGGTGAGAACTGTTTGTTCTGCTTTTTCCTCATGACACACAGTACTGCCATGCAAACAGAGGAATAGTCAGTACTGTGTGATTTCCCCCAAGCATTACTCCTTCTTAAGTATCTCAAAATAGAGGTGACGTGAGGGAGAACCACTGTCAGGATCCCCTGTGTTTTTTATTCTGCTTATTTCACAACTCTGTTCTGTGGGGAAATGGGGATGGAGGAGTATGGTTAATTCACTCCTTCCACATCATTTCTGTTTTAACCTTCTTTTCATAGCTGCTATTTGCTCAGCACAGGATGGCATACAGTTAACACACAATGTGACAGACCCCATATAAACTATTGTGGTTGTGATTGAGGAAGCTATTCCAGAGTGAGAGAACTTGCTCAGGGCAGTGTGTTCCTCCTGCTCAAAAAATGCAAGTTCAGAGTTGTCTGGAGAGAATTGCCATTCCAGAAACATGATTTAGTGGATGGCAACATGTGTCTGGCAAGACATTGTCTATATGGGTCCTTTATTGAGAGAAATTGGGTGGATAAATAAATCCCACACGTTTTGGTTCAGGCAAAAGAAACAGTTTGGTTTATTGAACTCTGAGGTAATTTACTATTTGCAGTAGTAGGCATTGCTGGATAAGTCCTCCCTCCTCCCTCCCAGGTCTTCTCTCAAAGGGAGCTGTGCCGATTTGAAGATGACAAGGGGATTGTCTTCTACAATAGTAGCTTGGATCTCGGTGGAATAATCTCCCAGACAGCTGCTCTCCTTTGATCAGAGACCAGCTGTGTGGTCAATTGTGCCATTCAGCTGAGTAACCCTGAAAAATACCCATGTACTTTAGACTGAAGAGGCTCAGAGCCTCTTGGCCACACTTCTATGGGGGAATTGTCTGATGCCAAACGGGCCCGCTGTGCAGATGGAAATCAGAAACCACCAGATCCTGGGCAACTGCCAGCCTTGCTTAGTAAGCAAAGCGGTGATTTTCTGCCTCAGACGCAACAGGCTCAGGCCAAGTGCATGACAGACAGGATGCCACAAAGCAAGTGCAAACATAAGAGTTTCTCCAGAGTTTCCTAAGTGCTTTTTACTCTCTCTTTGTCTTTTTTTAATAAAGGCTTATCCAGAATCAGATTACTGTCAGAGGAGCCAAGTGCCTAGCTGATGCTCTCCAGGACAATACCACTCTTAAAGAAATATGGTAACAAAGGCTTTGTAACTCTATCAACATATGACATTCACATTCCAGACACCTGTGAAGTCTTCTGCCCCTTTCCTGCAAGGAAGGTCTTGCCACTTGGAATATTTCTGCTCAAAGTTGGAAAGCAGGGATGGGAGTCCTTGGCATGCAACCTCCTAGGTTCTTTTGTGGTGTAGCCACTAGTGAGAAGCGATGCAATTTGTATTCCAAAAACATCTAGAGGATCACAGTTGCCCATGTCTCAAAATCCTTTAAAAAAATCCAGGAGAGTAACTGCATTAGTCTATTGCACTAAAAAAACAGTAAAGAGTTTTGCGATATGTTTAAAAATGTAATTAATTGGATGGGGAATAGTTTTTTTTGTGAAAGGCAGCCCACTGTGTCAGATTTGTTTGTTTTTTATGAATGGCTGAAATGTTCCTATCTGTCTGTGAGGGCTGTAGACCTGTAAAACACTTATAGGGAGTTAAGTCCCACTTAACTGAGGGACCATTCCATTTAGATGAAGAAGACCCAGATCAGGGTGTCAGTAAGCTATAACAGCAATGATTGCCAACTGAGAGGTTTAGCTGTGGTGGTAAGTGGGGACATTCTCCTTGATCCAATTTCTCAGGAGCCAGATTCTTGTGGTTATGACATTGCAACTCAACCTGGGATGGGTAATGACCCTATCATGCCTGCATACATTGGCACTGCAGTGTTTAGGCTAGATGGTCAAAAGGAAAATTAGAGACTAAGACAGTGTGGAAAAGTTCATTTTTGTATCATAGCCCCTATTATCTCCAAGCATGGATAAGGGCTAGGAAATTCTGGGAATTGTAGTACAAAAAGTACAATGTTTCTGAGCCCTGGGGTAGCATATGCTTCCTCTAACTCAGCAGCTGCTCCCTTAAAAAAATTAAAAGTCATTCTGGAAGAGCAGAGGCCTCTGTGTTTCCCACCAAAAGAGGGCCAACAATAAGCAGCAATGCAGTGCATGTTGCTATGCCCCTGCCAGCCTTTGCCTAGTCAGCTTTTGAGCATCAGGATACCTGGTGGTTCTACTTTGGAGTCACACCTCTTGAGGAAGGACCAGTTGCACACCTTGTGATCACAGCCTATGGAAGGGTAGAATTTGGAAGGGAACAGACTGGGAGGCACAGGTACCCATGGGCCCCACTTAGTTAAACCTCAGTGAAAACCAGATAATCTCAGATTTCCTAACTTTTTTTTAATCAGCATTCAACTATATAGATTCCATTTCAACATTTGTCTTTAACAGAATTCTTTAAAAGTCAATGAATCAGGTTAGTTGTACAAAACCATCACTCACTTTTTAGCTGGACTACAAATATATGAGGAGCTCTTAGAACTCTACAGGTGCAGTTTTTACATCCTTCCAGAGATTGGGGGTTGTTTTGTCCTCTCCTTTGCAGACCAAACAGGCAATGCAAATCACTTCAAAAGAAGAAACAAACTAAATTAAAATGCCACCCTGCAGAAACAGCTGCTTTGTTTTAATTTCTTTTCTGTCTTCCCACCTCCAACAGCTTAAACGGAAACCCAATAACCCAAGAGGAGATTAAAGGATTTGAAAATGAAGAGAGACTTCGCTTTTGAGAAACGTCTTTTTCAGGTGGACAGTTGCCAGAATGCCAAGACTATTTTAGCAGGGGCAGAAGCCGGAACAACTCCCAATTCCTGACTCTGTTGTGTGCTTGGGAACTCTTCAGCAGGCAAAGGTAATGTAAAATTTGGAGTTCAGGCAGTCAGTTTGTATGAGCCATAAGCATCACCTCTGACTTAAGTTTTGGACTTTTTGCTTGGATCTCAATTTTTGTACCGTATGTGCCTGATGGAATGTTCTGGAGAACTCAAAAAGCTTGTCTTCTTTTGTAACCTTTTTGTGATCCTGTAAAGGTATGGATTTCCTGTAAAGGAAAGGATTGCACAGCTGCTTTTTGTATCTGCAACTGGGAATAAAAAATCTACTGCAAGAATTAGTCATAGATTATCAAAATTTGCTCAGAGATGTCCCAGTAGATCATGAACTTCATTTTGCCCAAATCACCAAAACTGTCTTCTATAAACTCAGGTCATTGTTCCATTTAGATCAGTATTGTCTGTTATTGTTACTTGCAGCAGCTCTCCAGATTTTCCGTGGAGTGTCTTTCCTCCTCTCACTAGCCCTATCTAGAGATGAATCCAGGAGAGAATCTGCTTGCAAGGCAGACTGACACTGGCTGTAATGCTGAATCAATAATCCCATTTCTCTGATTCTTTTTTATTATCTGCATAGATGTAAATACCTTTTACATTTATTTATGGACAAGCCAGATTACATTTTACGGGTGCATGAAGAACATTCGCATCTGTTTTCTATTTCTCATTGCACTTCCATCTGCAGTGATAACCTTTTCTCAACATATACAAAAGGGTTGTATCAACATTGGCTCCTTTGTACGGCATTGCCAATGTTTGCATGAAAAAGAGACAAAGTCTGAACCATGGGATGTGGGAATTTGAGAGTGCAGAAACAGCTAGGGCAACTGCTGTTTGAAAACTGGTTTGAACGATCGGAGGAAGAGAGCGTAACCAACACAAACATTCTGTTGTCTCTGTGAAGCAAGTTCTGTGTGCCTGGCATTAATTATCACCCAAACGGTTGCCTTCAGTTGGAAACAGGAAGTGAGGATTCAGTCGTTTTTATTTTCAGAGGTTGGGACCGTTTCATCTCTATTAATGTTGCCATTGTGGAAATGGTTTTGATGGACCGATATCTCAAACTGTTGCTTTTTCGGAGGTCATCAGCTTAATATGCTTCATTCTCTCCCCCTGTCCACGTACACTGACCCATTCTTAGTTAGTTCCTTTTATCCACAGAAAATGTGTTCCATTTTATCTGTATGCTTAGATGCCTCTTTTAGTTTCTAAGTACCTAGCAAAAACTAAACCTAGCTATTTTGCCTTTCTTACTCAAGGTCTCCCTTACTTTCATCTCTGAATATCTAATTTTTATTAAGAACAAGTTCATGTAGATAGAGATGGAACAGGAGCTGTCTACAGTTCTAGGAGCCAAACGTATTTATGTGCTAAATGCCTAGCTCTAAATGGTATGTGACAAATGAGAAATAAAACTAAAATGCATAAGAGAGAAAGGCCATATGTATCCTTTTGAGAGAATCAAGTCATTAGAGTGGACTTTAACAATAATCTTGTTGCTTCTGTGTTTTGGATCTCTGGCTCTTTGCCCAAGTGAGCCACCTGTTTGGTTAAGAGCAATATGGCATGTGTGCCCATCCGACCTGTTATACCTGTTCTGATTCCCACAGGCTAGATGTGGGCATTGCAACATTCTGACAAGAAGAGCAACTCGTGGAATTTCTTCCTGTGCTCTGAGGTTTAAGAACAGAGATGACCGAAGGCAGAAGAGACAACCATTTAGGACTTCAATTTCCAAAAGTCTCAGCCAGCACAACCTGTGGCGAGGGGTTGTGGGAATTGTAGTCCCAAAAAATTTCTGGAGAATCCAACTTTTCTCAGCCCTATTATAAATACAGGATTGGGGAACTGGTGTGCTTTGACATATTGTTGGAGGACAACTCCAGCCATCCTTAATCATTGCTGTCAGAGCTGATGAATGTTGTATTCAAGCAATGGCTATAGGGCCATATCCATTTATTAAATTCCCTGTTATGCTGCTGTGGAATAGGGAAGGCTTCTTAGTTGAGCACATGTTTGTAGGATCATTACCTAATTAAGAAGGTTTGAGTTGCCAGGGATGTGAAAGACCCCCTCCTGCCAGAAAACCTGGAGAGTCACTGGCAAAATACCAGCTTTCCCCACCCAGTCTGGTGCACTTCAAAAGGTTTAGACTGGCCATGCACCTAAGCTCACAAAGTATCTCTACCTCATTTTTCTATGTATTCTGAAAACCTATTCAAATTAAAAGTTTCCAACTTTATCTGTTATTTCATTCTTATTATCCGATGGTGAACAAGTGCAACTAAAAGCACAGAGGCCTCTAAAGTAATGTAAAGGTGTATCTAAACCTCAAGTGTTTCTTGATTTCATACCATGAGGTCTTCAAGGGTTCCCTAACAAAAGGAAAGCCACCTCAACTTGATGTATGGACAGCTGAAGAATTTTTGCATTGGACCCTCTCAGCAGTACTTCCTTCAAACTGAAGAGCACGAAGTTGAAAGAGATTGTATATAAAATAGGATATACCAACTTCAAGGAACCAGAGGACCACATTGATATTGCCCAACGTTACACCAGGGTTGTGCTTCCCCACACAGTTTGTCACTGTGACAGCAGAGAGAAAACAAGCAACAAGACCTTTCTGTAAAAGTACAATTATACCTGCAGATATGTCTGGGAGCAGTGGTTGTTGCCATATTTGCCAGCCTAACTTTAGAGCTCATGCTTATGGTGTAACTGCCAACTCAAGAGCACCCAGACATGGTAGTACAGCCAGACAAATGTGACCCCTACCCCCAGTTTGCACAGAAGCAGAGGAGAGTGCAAAAACTGGAGCACTGGCAGGAGAGTAAACAAGCAGAGGCCCTTATACAGGATGGCAGAGTAAGGCCACAACAGCAAAAGTGATCTCCTCCACAGCTGGGAACCTCAGAGAAAAGGAGATAGTTCTACTTCTGCCACATGTCTCCCCTATACTGATGTATACAGCATCACTTGGGAGATTCAGCAAAGGGAAAACATGGATTTGCTCACTACAGTGTATTGGATCCAGACTAAGCCCACAATAATGTTTCATTGAAATCAGTGTCAAAAATATTCATGACTAATGTAAATACTATTGATGTCATTGCCTAGAATCATCTTTCTTAATGTTGTAAGTTGCAACTAGAGTAGGTCCATTAAATCAGTTGAGATTTGGTGAGTCAACTCTGTGCATTCCACTTGTTTAGTGGCTGTACTCTAGTTGTGACTTCCTACACTAAGCAACAGGATCTCAGCCTATGGAATCCAGGTATGACTAGTTTAGTGTAGATCCCATCCACTGTAATTAATCTCCCCCAGCCAATTGGCTCATGGGCACTTCCCAGTTAGCTACACAATATTATTACAGTTATAGCTGTTAGGCGAATCTGCCAAAGGACATGTAGAGCAACAAAAATACCTGTCTTGAAAGTCTGTTCATGGACCACCTTCCCCATCCCAGCAGGAACTCATTCATTATTTCTAAGAGACTAAAACATGTGCCATGTATGGTATTGCTTTATACTAGACATATGTACTGGCACCCTGACCTGGTCAGTGCCTGAATAAGCATGCACAAATTGATGCCCAGACCACCTATGCCTATTTTGTAACACTCTGACTTGACTCTTAATTAGCTCTGTGCTGATATTTGTTAATTTCTGAATCTTTGTGGGAGGAAAACCCATTCCTGTGAATGGGAGAAAAAAAAAGGACTATGACTTCAGATGCTGATGGTAAGCACCATTAATTTTGGAGATGTGATAGACAGGTACACAGAGACACAGGAGGATTTTTCTTCTGTCCTTAGGCATTCATGTGGCAGTGGGGCAGAAGCCAGCAGGCAGTGGTGTTTGTAATACTGAACCAACAAATAACAATATGACTGTGGTCATGGTGGCAGGTAGAATGGCAGGTAATAGTGCATTAATTCTGACATGACTATTCAGAGACTATAAAAGAAGAATGCAGGTATCTACATGCAGTCACACACACTCAGTTCTAATAGCATAAAGTTTAGTAAACTAAATTGGATAAGAAAGTGGAGAAAGCACCTAGTGACTCAAGTTTGAGCCCTCATAGCTCCTCAATAGTTAGAGTACTCAAGTGAGGTATTGATTGGGCTTTATTGCAGGATTCACCAGAATCTCCCTGAACACTTTCCCCTTTGGAATGCCACATCTTTTTACATAAACAGCAATCCCACAAATGCTGGATTGAGCAAAAAAGGATCCAATGGGATCCACCTGTGAAAAATGTGCGCCTACTTGTTTTGCCCTGATCACCGTGTAATCACATAACTACCACTAACTGGATTTATTTTCACACAATTGTCTCAAGACAGTACACATCTTTGCTTTATATAGATAATGCCTTTCTTATGACAAAGAAAAATACTACAAAGTGTCTACAATTTTGAGTTCTTCACAGGGATTCATCAGTACAAGAAGAAGAAAAATCCAAAACTTTGGCCCAGATGCCACAGCCATGAGATTTACAGAGTTAAGTCCAAGATGAATGAGTGAATCATTAATAAGGGTGCAGGCACCTGATTACATGAGGCAGTGTGTACTGGGACAAAGAACCTGTGGCTGATCTCAGTTTCTGAAGGTACAAAGGCTGGCTGCAACATCAAGGCTTGCCTCTTGCCTTGGATGAAATTCAGTGAGTTCTGAACTGGCAGCAAGCAGAAACAGAAAAATTGGGCAGTCTTTATATAAGCAAAGCTGGAGATCAAATTCAAGTGGTGAATTTGATTGAAATGAAACTGGATTATATTACCTAGTAGTTGACCAATAAAAAAATTTGTTCTCCCTGATGATAGACTTGGCCCTGAATGGCTACATGTGTATTTTTCCAAAGCAATTTTTAAAGGTAGCTGTATGTGTCACTGAGCTTCATGAATGGCTCACATACGTAGTATCCTTCTCCATCCGCTCCTTTATCAGGGATAGTCCACAGAGTTAACAGAAAATGAAAAGCCACTACTGTGCATGTGCAACTTGGCCCTCCACCGGATTTAAAACACTTCAGTCTGCCTTGGAGACACGTTCAAAATCAGAGGGTTAACAGGTGCTTTTAATATCCATATTCATTTATGGAAATATGCATCCTGTTGAATTCAGCTTGTACTTCTCGGAATAAATGGATGCTTTGAATTCTTTGTTCACTTTCAATTGATTGGTTACTAGTTATTTTTCTTCCTTTAGTGTTCTGCGGCCCAGCTCTTCTTAGTTTCCACAATAATGAGAGAGCCAGCATTTTTAGGGTTGATGTCTCATTTTTTCACATTTTTTCAAATACCCCGGTCTTGCCTTGTTTTGGAAGCTAAGCAGGTTTGGTCCTCATTAGTATTTGGGTGGGAGACCACCAGGGAGTAACATGTCTAGGCAGGGCTAAAAAATAATTGTGACCATAATCCTGGAGAACAATTTCCTATATTAAGCTAGATGGACCAATGGTGTGACTCAGTATAAGGCAGCTATCTTAATAAGTACATCCAGGAGCCTGTTCCATAACAAGGTAAAAGCCCCTAGCCTTGTTTGCTAATAGAAGGAACCTTGTGCACAGTGTCAGTAGTTCACCTTGGAACCAAACAGAGCTAATTCACAGGGGATAGGAGGAACAAAGCGCTAGAAAATAGCTGTGTCTACTTTCTTATCTAGCATCTAGCCAGACATTTAGCATTATGTTTGCAAGAGTAGGAGACCTTATCATCTCTCCTCACCCCCCCCCCCATCATGTGCATGCAAGACTCATACTCTTTGTCTCCTGGTCACAAAAGAAAGCATTGCTTTTCATTTTAAATTTTAGCCATCATCAGAACACATTCCACATTCTGAGATAATGCTGCACATGATGATGTTTGCTGATGATTTCAGCTGAACTCACAGTGTCACAATCTTGTGTTGAATGAAAGTCATCAAGTGTTAAGGCAACACATTGCTGTTTGAGTCATTAAGCCTGGGTGTTATTTTGGTGGCAAAAGCTCTGAGGCTGCCCATTTAAAAAAAATCCTGTGGTCACTTCAGCACTAGGCTTCTTGGAAAATATGGCTGGGTCTCTTGAATTGTTTGAGTTGCTGGGCATCTTGGCATAACATCACTAGGAAATAGTCTTTTTTCCAATGAACTCAGCTTGGCAGCTTACAATGTGGCCTTGTTCACCAGCATTCAGGTCCCTGGAAATAAAAATAGAGTTATGTTCCAAATTAAAATAGACCAGTGCATTGAAGAGCCTAGTCACTTGCTAAAAAAACACCTTCCACACAGGTAAATGGCTTTTGTTGGAGCTATGTCCATTCCTCTGTTCATAAAGTCACCTTTCACAATTTTATGAAGCCAATAGATTTCCTTTGATTTGTAGCCATGCCAGGGAATGAATCGGACTGGACCCAAATTAGCCAGTATTATTCAAGCAACCTGTTGGCTTGTGGTGTTGCTGTGCTTCAGATCCAGGATGTGACAGCTGTGACATAAAGTGCCAGCAAAGGGACATGAAAGAAAAGGCTCCCCAAAGACTCCCCCACAAGCTGTGCCACTTTAGAGCCAGGCAGTAAAACTCTGATACTTCTTTGGGAAGACCAGTCTTCTGGAGGAGCATGGTACTGTATGCTTGAAGAAAGTGGTGACTGAAGACCACAGAATGTGGTTACTGGACCTGCAAGCGACGCATGGCACTGCACTGTTATGTAATGAAATCTATGATAGCCTCTTCTCCCTTGCTAAGCATCTTTAGGAGGGATCAATTTATACTGAGGCAGAAGAAGGTTTCTTTCTTAGAACTTTCCCACCAATTTATTTTGGTTCCGTGCTTTATTCCATATCCAGAAGTCAATTAGACTGACAGTTGAACTTTTGTCAACACTGGCAGTGAGATAAGGTCTTTCTCCACACCTGAGGGCAGCAGGAGGACTGTTGGAGGTGATGTATGCAGTACAGTTTGTGACACTGACACACACACACAGAAACCTCTGTCCTCCAAAAGAAGGGAATGGCCTCAGGAGGAACAACTGAGAGTCCGCTATTTTGAGGGCCCTCCATCTCCCTCCCATCCTGGGGCAGTTGTCTCACTATTCCTACTGGTCAGGGTGGCCTTGCCAGAGAGCATTTACAAGTGAGAAGGAACTTCATTACAAGCCACAGTAGCTTCTTATACAGTGTGTCTTTTAGACATACAATAGCCTATTCATGGGGCCCTTCACACTCATGCGTTTTGCTCAGCCACAGATCAGCTTTT